CTAAAGGCCCTCCAGCTGACTGAGGCCCTGAGAGGAGTGCTGGAGGGGCAGGGGAGTGAGCAGGAACAGCACTCTCTCAGGAAACAAGTCTCCACTGAAACAGCACACAGTATACTGAAGTGGCTGCACAGAGATGAGGTGAGTACCGTTTCACTGAAGGCCGTAAACACTGTAACAAGGATGGATAAAAGACCAGCAGAGCATTATACAACACTCAGTATGCAAATCTAATATCCAATCTGAAAATATAAAAAATCCAATAAATGAAAATGGCAGGGCTGGCCAAGCTCTTCCCCTTAGAGGAAAAGCTTATGGTGAAGCGCGGGCCGTAAGCCAACACAATTTATTGTTTTGTACTACGATCCTGAGTTCCATAATCTGAAATGCCTTTTGTCTATTTGCCTGTCTCTGCCTCACACTTCTATTTTTAGCCCACCAAACGTCTTGCAAAGTGTTACTCTATAGCATAAATATATTGTTATTTAATCATTTATTTTTCCCACAAGAATCTGTTAGACAAAATGTAACCTTATGGTGGTCCAACTTTGGCCTTCAGGCTCTACGTTTGGCAACCCTGTTAGAGAATTGCAAAGTCATAAAAGCAAAGGCATATAGGCTACTATATATATATATAGTGTATACTTTTACTACTGCATCAGTCCATGGGTTTTATTAGTTGCGTGATATGGTGGTCTTTGATCCTGGCCATCAACATCTGGCGGCTGTTTTCCTGTCTGCATAGAAGTAGTTAGCGGAAGCTGGAGATATTGCAAACTGCACCGGTAATGAAATCCAGAGCTCCTGTTTAAAGTAAAAGCAGTCACTCCCCCTTTCACTCCGTGATTTCCTTTGTTCCTATACCCCCTGCACTTCTCCTATCCTCTTTTTTCTGCAACAGTTGTTTGTTTGTCTCCTGTTTGTAATCAACCAGCAGTATACCCTCGTCTACTCTACTCAACTTCAATATATTTTCAACTTTTCACTTGCATTCCCTTTCAGTCTCCTCCACCTCCTCCACCTCCTCCCCTTCTGCGTGGTCTTTACTGACATCTTGCTCTGCACCACATCTGACAAGCATGTGTTGCAGAAAGTTTCCTCTCCCCTGTGCCCCTTTAGGAAGCCCCGCAAAATTATCTCGACCAAGAGGTACTTCAGACGGAGCGAGACAGGGATAGAGACAGACAGAGGTACGAGAAAGGAAAGGGAGGACAGAAAAGGTGAGAGACCATGAGATGCAGCAGAAATTCAGCAGAAACACTGATGCAGTTTGACTGTGCTTCAGAGAGAAAGCAGGAGAAAAACCAAAGGGGAAGTTAAAAAGAACTAGAAAAAAGTGAAGAGAAGAAAGAAAGAGAGTACAGCCAACTGGCATAGTTGGAGTTATTCGCCTCAGCTCTAAAAGTCTCAGGCTGCCCAGACTCCAAACCACACGGACTGAGGTCCTCTCTGCTCTCTCAACTAAAGCTGCAGTATGGAGGCTCTGTAAAAGGACTAGAGTTGGATTCAGTGAGACCAAGAGTGCAGCACAGTCAAGAGCAATTGGTTTGTCTTATTGAGGATTTTGTATCTGTTCATCCTCCCTGATGCTTCAGAGCACCATCTCAATTATTTTAGTATCTTACATTAAGAGCCAGAACTACGGTACAATGGGCCTGCACAATGGAGTATGATATTGACTTCTACAAACATTTTGCCTGGCTTAAGAAGGTAAGACATTATCCACTTGCATGTCTACTCTTCAAACCTGTATACTGCACGAGTGTTTGCACAAAGGATATTGGTTGTTTCTTTTCGGTCTTGCAATGTTGTTGCTTTTACGATATAATTACGGTTTCCATGGTAGCTAATTTGGGAGGAGGACATGTTTTGAAGAGGTGTGCTGCAGGATATGCAACACATGAACTGTAAGCTCCTTGTGGACTAGAAAAACAATGAATATAAGTTAAGAAACAGCTAACGATATCATGGTAGTAAATGGATCATAACATGGGTGAAATAATAGATGCACTCTCTGCCAAACTGGTCACAAGGTTAAATGTTTGAGGTGAAAGATAAATGGAGATGCATGTCAGCTGAGATCATTTCCTTCCACTTGAACCTACAGCGAGCCTCTGGACAGCACATACCATCCTGCTACGATTAAGAAGGCATTAGTATTCACTGCATCCATTATGTTACACATTGTTCTTAATGTAAAACACACAGAGGAACCGTTTTCATAGATTTACTGTTTAATCATTATTATTTACAATTTTGACCAAGAGGTTTATGATGTATCATAAGACACAACATTGTTGTTGTTTTTCTTGACAATGTTTGGAATATTTTCAAATTGTATATAAATATAGTAAAACTATATATAGAGAAACACACTGTATCAATTGAATCACATTTACCATGTAATGCAATGCAAAAGCCCTGTTCAACTCATTTAAGCCACATACAAACTCACATCAACACAAAATGACAGTGTCAACGAAAAATAACACATGTGAGATTTCTCATAGGATTATACATTTGTAAAGAAAGTCAGGATATATGTTTGAAGTTAGGAGGAGAATCGGTTTAGGAATTTATAATTTTTGAGGTTGGCTAAAAACAGTTTGAGAGTTATTAAGCACACAGCAAAAAGGAAGGGAGCTGTTTACAATATAAAGAAAGACAGAAGATAATATTACCAAACACTGGACTTATACAAATGGCAAGGGTTTAGAGGAGGGACTGTCCAGCACACACAGGCAATTAATCATAAAAAAGTTATGATGAAGAATATCTGAAATAATACTTAAAGTAAGCATGATGTACAATCCCATATATTAGTACTTAAACAGATGTAGTAAATGTTTTGAAAGCATAAGGCAAAGAGTGTATGAAATGCTTAACGGTGTTTTTGAATTATTGCATACCACTTGCTGGCTCATGATGATATAAGCTGGTCTGCATAATGTTTCCATGCTTGTGGTTGAAAGCCTGGATTTCTGAGATATTTGAGACTATTGGATTGCACTTTGCTTCTCTTTCGAACTGATCGCTTTAAAATGTTCCTAGGCTCTGCTTTCACACACAATTATTTCCCACCGATCAGATTGTGCAGGATTAGTACCTCTAACCCTTTTGCAGGCTTTTCCGCACATGATCTACTGACACAACAACGTTAATACTGAGAGAGTTAATTATGTGTGTTTGTGCATCTGTGTGTACTGTACACAGCCTGCCACCTCGATGAAGGAAACTAAATCCAACCCACAGTCCTGTATTTAACTGTGTATTTAATGAACTTAATAGCCGACCTTTTTTCTAAAGGTAAACCTCCATTCTACTGGCAATAGTGAGTCGTACCAGGAGCGGTTATCACGTCTGGAGGGAGACAAAGAGTCCCTTATTCTGCAGGTGAGTTTTGTCAGTCTTAGTGTTCAAAGCACATAACAAAATGTCTGTTTATTTTTGTGTAACAATTATATAACCCTTTAAAAAATGTTAAACCTGAAGAATGGCTGGACATTTGTTGATAGAGGTGAATCATTTCCATTTGGTATCAGCCTGCTCAAATAGAAGAGGCCATGTGACCACACTGAGTGGGATTCTGAACAGTGCCCATATCACATAACAGTGTTAGAGGAACGAGTAGAGGAACTGAGGGCAAAGCTAGGTCAGAGTCTAAAGGTTGCGTAATGGCTGTATTTCAGTTGCACAGGTGAATCAGCAGTTGTAAAGCTGGGTTTGGTGCTCTGGTTACAACACTAGAATGTCTTGTTTGTTTTTTTACGATTTCTTTGTCTAGATATGTAGGTGTGAGTAGTTATGACACGACTGAAAAGTGTTTATCTCAGACAGGCTGAGGCTAGCACCACCATGTGCTGTAGCGTAGGTGTGTGTGAGAGCAGGTGCTCTGTTTGTTTCTTCAGGCCTCACATATAACATTCCTTTAGAAAATCTGCTCCACTTGGCTGGTCGGGCGGGCCTATTAGCATATGATTAGCTATGATGTAGCCCTAATAGTTTCTTTGCAGATTTATATTTAACCTGCGTTTTGCTGACATTTGCTGGCGCCACTGTAGTGTTGCAAGAATCGAGTGAGGAACAAAGGATCATTCATTTTTTCTTAGAGTAAACGTTTACACTATATAATCAGTCACAGATGTAACATTTCAACAAAAATGTAGTACAGAAATTAAATGAAAAAAGCTGATATAAATGTGTTCTATCAGAAGGTAAAGGCGAAAATCGGAGGCCTAAATAATTTTGTCAAGCATAGGTTGCAATTATGTAAAAAAAAACAGTTTTATTGTCAAGTGTGTAGAAAAAACATCCTCATCTCTGCTTTCTGTCTTCACACACAAATACACACAGGTGAGTGTGCTGACAGAACAGGTGGAAGCTCAGGGGGTCAAAATCTGCGATCTACAGAACTCTCTGGTGGAGCATCAGCACAAACTCAACTCCACGGAGGAGATGCTACAGCAGGTACAGCCTCACATACCAAAACACTTCTTACATTGGACTTTCAAATGCTTGATGTATTACTGGACCAAAATCAGGAAACTCTGACTTCCCTCAGCAGGCATCCAGGGCTTTCACATCAATATTGTACTTCCATTTAACAAGACTGTCAATCTATCCATCACATATGACTCTTCTGCAGATTCAATCTTCTCTCACAAGCTGTAGAATTTGACTTGGGATGAGTTATGCTTCCTGGGAACAAATTCCTTTTAAGATTCCAGAGTTTCTGTCTGCAGATTACCTTGACAACCCAAAATATTTAGGACGCTCAGACTCATTCCACAGCAGTGTCTCAGAGTGTTTTTCTAGTTTATGCAGGGCCAGTCTGCTCTGTCTGGGCAGGTGATTAGAGAACCATTAGCCACACCCACAACCTGTAACCACCATGATGTGTGTACAAGCACATACACACATACTGTACACAAACGTTGAAACGTTTGCACACACATACAAACAGAGAGGGAAAGAGAGAGAGGAAAACAGAGGGAAGGAAAAAGCATTTAAGAGAAAGGGAGGAACAGCTGAAAAAGGTGGAGAAATGGGAGGGAATAAGGGTGGTGCTACTCTAAGAGTTAGAAGTGTGCGTGTGCAACTTTCAGTTGTTTGCTTTTGACTTGAAATTTAACAGAGGCTTTGCTGAACACTACGAAGGACTCTGAATGGAATGGATTTAAGAAACTGTAATTTACTGAAACTACAGGGTGCTAGAAACCACCCGCGTCCATGAAGGATATACACTTACTTTTCCTTTGCTACAGGCAGACACTGGAGTAAGGTGAACCAGGTATTATGCATAATGCCATTATTGTAATGCTGCTCATCTGAATTATCAATTCAAAGTAGACTGTCTAAACCTATATGACTAATTGTATATGTGCCAGGCTTGCGTCTTTTAACTATAATGAGTTGTGAACTTAATACTCAGTGTGTACTTCTATGTGCAGTGCTGTATGTGTGCAGAGTATCAAAGGGCAGCCAGGGCTGGTTTCTTGGAGACATGGTCATTATGAGGCTTTGGACCTGAGCCGTAAATCTCTTCCTGGTGACAAAGCTTTAATATTTCCATGTGTACACTCTAGAAGAAGCCTAGACATTTTCCAAAGCCAGAGTTTAAATGGATATATCAATATGTACTGTTTGCCTTTCTCCGATACTCATTCCTAGACTTTAAGTGATTTAGCACCTGCTTGACATCAACCAAATTAGTAATACATCTGCCCACAGAGCCTGGCTTAACTCTCAAGGCTGACAGTTGTTCGGGACAGATAGTACCAAAACTGTATAGCAGGCCCAAAGTCTCCCTTAGCACCAGGTTAGACTGGCAGCGGTTCAAAGTCGCAGGAAAATGCACCTGTCAAAGTTATTTTAATGTTCTTTCTGTGAATGTTTTGCATGCTTTTGGTATCTTTCTCTCTCACTCTCTCTCCCCCTCTGCTGTGTACTTTGACTGAGCTGTGAAATAGGCATTATAAATAGTGGTCATGGGCTGTGTATATTTAGCCACTCAAACAGCGTCTGAAACCAGTGGGTTTGTCTGGGGCACTGTCATTACAGCACTGGAAGCTAGCTGTGCCTCATACTTAATGTTGCCTTTGTTCAGTAAGTATTGAGTGTTTTGTATTATTGACGGGATTATGTATTCATGTATGTTAGTATTTAACTGTACGTCTCTTTGTGTTGCCTCATGCTCTTGCTGTATGTTGTTGATGACAGGAGTTCCTGCATAGGACGTCACTGGAGAACCAGAAGCTGAGTCTTATGGGGGAGGTGTCCTACCTGAAACTAAAGCTGGCAGACATGGAGGGAAAACAGAGCCATGGGGCTGAAAGGCAGCACAAAGCAGAGGTAGGGCTACTCAGAGAGCCAAATATGCCTACTCTCTGTTGTATTTTACTTTTAATATGCAGTACAGCCTGTAGGTATGGGTGTGTTGTTTGTCAGAACTTTTTTTTTACAAATGTTTCGATCATATAAAGGTTGCAAAGTTTGAAAAGCAGTTTTATTAGGACAAGTTTCTTACATTATAGCTTTAAATCATTTAAATTTAGCAATTAAACCTCATATTTTTGACTATGTACAGTAAATGTGAACGCCATGCCTCATATTCTAAATGAAAATATAGCTTGTTTCACTGTGGATTGTTTGAGAAGAGGAATTAGTTCAGCTAAAATCTTCAGAAACCTATATTTTATAGTCCTCTGAACAGTTACCGAACTCTGCCAGGAGTGAAGGAGTTACTCACAAAAATCTGACTGGATCTTACCTTATAGTCAGCTGCCGATTTTATGGATGTTCATAAACACTTTCTTGATAGATGGAGGGGAATATTCACCCAGTCTCTGGCTCTGTTGTTTCTGGGCAAAGTCCACAGGAAAAAAACAGTCTCCAGGGGATTTACATTTTTGTCAGTTTAAACTGAATCGTGTATTTGCTTAAGAGCGATGTGTTAGGTTACCAGGAGGCATTCAGTGACCATATGAATTAGAGAAAGAGGAAGCAGGGAAAGCGGCAGGACAGGATACTGTAATGTATGTAGTTACTTCCAAAACACTGCTGGTCAAAGAGCCTTTGTTCTCAGGTTAAAAGAGTCCCTGCATAGCAGAGCTGGCTGATGGATGGCAGACCAAATATGAATGTGTGTAGGCTTTAGCTAAGACGATTTAGTTTTTGGTTGTGGGTAAAGGTTCCATTGGCCAGTCTAAAAAAAGGAACTGAAGACATGTTCCCAAAAACATTTCACACAAGCATTTGAAAATAATTTTATTAAAATATGGTTGGGCACTTATAGGGAGGGATTTTATTTGTATTTCTAAGGTAACAGCACACTGTACACGTGATTTAGTGGACGGCGGTGTTTCAGCTTTTCTTAATCCTGCTTTCACAAACCAAACTTTCCCAACAACAGCTGCTTGGACTTAAGGAGAAAAGGAAAAAAATCAGCTTTGAACTATTTATTGGCCTCCCACGTGCTGCCTCTACAACACAAACATGTCCACACATATGCACCATTGGGCACACACACACACAACATGCGGAAGCCTCCTTGCTGTGGAGCCAGTAAGCTCGCAGTTAAATTTAGCCACACAGGCACTCCATATCATCTGTCATATCCGCTGTACTGGACCCCAAGTGAGACTTCCTCTGTCCACAGTCCAGGCATAACTCCACTGTTGTTTACACTCTTTCTGAGGGAAGATGGGTCCGGATAACCTCTAAAAGATGGCAAACCTACTTGTCCCCTCAGGGCAACTGGCCCAGTGTGTCAGTAAATAAGTACCAGCCTTGGATTTATTCTTCAAATACTGGCTTACTAGCTTATTTATGTAATCAGACTCAAGCTCAAATGTACATGTTCCCGAGATTTTAAATATCAGGTTTTGTAAATATAAGGTAGAGTAGAAAGGAAAAATAACTTATATAAAACACACACAAACAAACACACACACTTGTATCTAAACATACTGTATCTATACACATCTATGGTACTTTCTAAAAGAAATGTCTCAATTCTTTCCCCCCCACTTCATCCGTCAGACTGTAGTGAATTTCATTAGTGAGCTGCAGGAGCAGATGTGTAGGTTTCAGGAGGAGATCAATAGCAAGATTCAGGAGAAAAAGGCTTTGGAGATCCCATCTGAGAGCAGCTCTCCTGTGGCCTGCCCCGCGGAGTCCACTGGGGGCGAGGGATCACACCCCGGGACGTCTTGTGACCGAATCTCAGAAGGGATGAACAAACTAGAAGAGGCTCCAGATGGGCCTGATGGGAACACTCACACCCTGGAAGAGGGTAGCTCAGGGCAGCTGAACCACTGTGGAGAAGAAAGTGTAGGCACAGCCTGCCTGCATGGCTTCTTATGTTGTGTTCAGCATGGGTTGTCTCACTAGAGTGTGTGTGATACTGAGGTTTAAATGCAAATGAAACAAGCACGCACTAAATATCCCCAGCAGTGCTAAATGTCACTGTGCAACCTGCCTAAATCGTGTGAAAAATAATCCCATCTGTCAGTTATGCATCAGAGTGTGACACCACCAATAGGTGCATTTCATTTAGTATGTAATGCTTTGTGTTATGGAAAAACAATGGACAGATATTCTAAGATCTCCTGAATATTAAAACTAGCTAAATGTTGACATATCCGTTCTGTTTTAGGGCCTACTGAAAGAGCTCAGGATTCTCAAGGACAAAGTGGAGAATCTGGAGGATCAGAAGTTACAGTATGAGAAGAAACTCCAATCAACAAAGGTAAAAAAGTTCTGATTTTGATGGTGTCTCGACTTTGCAATAGACCATCAAACCCATCAGTGGGCAAATTCAACTGCTAACTGTCAGCTCAACTTTCCTAAATGCTTTCCAATCCGCTGTTCCAGCCAGTTATATGCGAGTCACCAATGTTTTCTTAAAGGTCCCATGTCATGGCCATTTCTACTGATCATAATTCCATTGTAGAGGTCTACTAGAATAGATTTACATTGTTCAATGTTCCAAAATCACATTGGTTTTCTCATACAGCATCTCTGTATAGTATATGTGTATTCACTCTCTGTCCTACACGCCTTGTTGGAGCTCCTGCCCCCCCCTTCCCTATGAGCCCATTGTGCTCTGATTGGTCAGCTCGCCCACTCTGTTCTGATGAGTCGACCACCGTTACAGCGGAACATCAGTTTATGTTTTATAATGGCGTTCGTTAGCAACCAGAAAATGAAACCAGTAATGACAAACAGATGAGAATGCTGCGTGGGGTCTGGGTGCTGTGTTGGCGGGACGTTGTGGGGCTCGAGAAGCGGACAGTGTGAGGTGGATTACTGGTGTCGTTTCCTGGTTGCTGCTTGGGGTCTGAGCTCCGCGGAGCTCCACACACACTCACTCTCTGCGGAGCTCAGGCTGAGTGAGTGTGGGTGCGGAGCTCCGCGTTGCTGGCTGAGTGAGTGTATGTGTGCGGATTGGTCCATTTGGACCAATCGGTCCATTGTGACGTCAACCTTCCCAGGAAGAAAAAAATGGAAAAAGAAAAATCTCCAACGAGGCGTTCTGGGGCAGCATCTTTTCTGTGTTAGAGTTTTACTCGCTACAGGGTGTACTTTGAGGGTTTGTGACTCTGCAGACCGTTTACATGCAGAAAAAGCTACAAAACAAACAAGGGGACGGGTAATAACCAGAAAAGCATATGATGGGACCTTTAAGAGGTCTGAGAACTGTTCACTTTCTATTTTAAAGTCCTGTAGAAATAGATTTAATAATGGCATAATCCCTTTTAATGCCCTACTTGTACTGTATACCTTGGCATGATCCCATGGTCTAAACTTCTTAGACTTTCTCGAGCAGTTTTGCATGCTCTCAGCCTTTGATAAATTCATTATCTTTCTCATCACAGCCTTAGACTGGCTTTAGGGTTATAGGGAAATACCGTTTTAAAATTGTATTATCTTTGTTTGGTATTTTTCAAAGGAGGTCCATCTGGTTTGTTGTGCAGTGTATGTGAACACTGCACCATCTGCAGCTTTTCAAATATCAAATATGAATCGGTACCTCACTATCAACTGGATGTTTACCCATATTTGAAAAGTAAGCAATTATTTCACAATTTGAACAATTTAAGGAAATCTTAATGCACTCCCAAATAACTGGCCACATATGTATGGTATGTAAAAATGCCTTCGTCTGTGAGTTTCTGTTTCTAACTCTACCTTTTGAAAAAAAATAGTCGTATGTAATGTTTGACAAAACAAAACGTGTATTTTTGATCTTCCATTCCTACATAACATACTGTACAGGCTGACATACAGTTATATTACAAACACTGCTAAATAGATCAGCCTAAAGTTACCAGCTTTTTTTTTTCATATAACATTTAAAAAACAAGAAAGAACATGCTATAAGCTTTGCATGTTCCTTTCTCAGATTCAATGTCTATTGTAATTATTTTTCTGTTCCATGTACATGTATCGGTACAATATCGTTGTGGATCTTTCACAATGTGGTTATCAAGTGCAGACATGTGCAGACATTAAGATTTTAACTTCTTGTTTTTGTGACTGTGAAATAACTTAAAAAGCATGTTTAAACAGACATCGTTTGCAATTGCAGTATATAACCCTTCTAAGATGGTTCCCTGTGTGGCCCCCACAGGCAGAGATCAGCAGCCTTCAGCAGCTTCTGCTCAGTAAGAACTCTGAGATCGAGAGCTTGCACACTCAGCTGCTGGTCAGACCCTTTCTATCCCCTGAGAGCCCGGAGAGAGGTAAGCATGGCACCCAGCCTCAAACAACCTGCCAACAACAGCCTGTCACTCTTGAACACTAACCCAGCCTGATATGTGACGCAGTTAATGACTCATATTTGCATCCGTTTACTTGCAGTAAGATCTGTGGGAAAATGATGTCTTGGCCCTTGATAAAAGATCTCATCACGAGTCTCTCTCTCTTTCTCTCTCTCTTTTTTAGAGGAGAGGCTAAACACCAAATGTAAGCCTGAGCAGTACTTAATGAAAAACATTTAAAACCCATGGGCCATGTCTACTTTTGATCTTTCAATTATTTCTTTACATGTCTCTGTATTTTATTAGATTTAGTTTATTTCTGTTCTGAGGGGCAGCTATGATTATAACCAAATCATTTCCAAAGACTATTTGATGCACTATCTCTTATCCCTATGGCTTTTTAATTGTCTATATGGTTTCCTATGATAAATATGTTGTTGTTCCTTCCAATTTTGTCAGTTAAACACATATCTGGGGTACTTGCTCAGTAAAACCAATGTCAGTCCCAAGCAATAATCTATGTGTGCCTGTAATAGTTACAAAGGGAGTGTTGATAGACTGTGGGCCCAACTATGTGAAAGCTGACATGGCTAAAGCTATGATTGGTAGATTAAAAAAGGCTTGGGAGAATCTAAAAATACACAGTTTTTGATGGCACTCCAGTGAGGAAAAAATGTACTTCATGTTAGCATGTATGTTTGCCTTTCCTATGGAACTGTATAGTATGTGACTATGTTTCTCTACAACATACTAATTTATTTGACATGACATGAGCAGCTGCCTTTACAGACTAATAATCAGTGTGGGGTTTCTCTTTTTAGATCAGGAGCTGCAGAAGCTAAGGAGTGGAATGAAATCACTGGTGACTGCCAATGATGAAAAGGTAAGTTAGGAGTGATGTGGAAATCTTTCCTTTCTCTTCTGGTCAACACAGCTGCTTGTGATTATGCAGTATAAGGCAGCATGTGTTGTCTTGGTTAACTACAACGTAAAGTGTCTTACTGGCCTGTATATAGAACTGCTATCATCATGCTGTTTGAAAGGTTAAAAGGTAACTGTTTTTAGATGTTGTCATTTCTCAGAGGCGCCGCCCTCCACCATTTATAGTACAGAGGGGCTTTTGTATTCACCCTCCCAGACACTCTCGGACTTTAAAGACTCAAAGACGAGAGCCTACATGTGGCACACTACCGAAGGACACACACGTACACACACCCCAAGGCGGGCCATTTCAGGCAAAGCCACACTTAAGTAGGCCTCGATCTGCCAAGCCTAATTTTGGAGTGAGCTGCATTAGGAGAACCATGACAAAACCAGGCATGGGCACCACTTCAAAAAATACACAGCTGGTTACCACAACTAAGATTTCCAGCCAGGCCTGTGTCAATCCCCTCCCTATCCACAACTTTGATGTAAAGGCCATATGGTAAAAGAGAGACGTTTGTGTGGTGTATGGGTCAGTAATAGAGTGGAGCGGGTAGTCCATATGTGTGTTTCCTAACCTTAGATAAACATCTTAATTGAGTTTCCTCTCTGTTTACTCTAGGACCGACGCATTGAAGAGCTCACTCTGCTCCTGAATCAGTGCAGGCAATTCAGAGAGGTCCCTCACACCACACGGCAAGGTAATCAGCTTATTCACTCCGTTATCCTTCCCTAGTGGCGTTTCTATTATGTGAGCAACAACGTTGAGCAGCATGAAAGCCACCACTCTTCCCCTCCTTAACAGAAATGTACGCCACGGCTTGAGCTGAGAAATAAGGGTTTCTTCTCTTTGTTACTGTAGCTCCACCTGCTGTTCGGTCATTGTCAAATGGCAGGACTCCGTCAAGCAGCAGTGAGGAAGAGGAGCATGTACTGATGAAGAATAGTACAGACTCTGCCAGTGTAAAATCTGTGGATGTAAAGTCTGAGGTACAAACCATTTCAGCTACTTGATAGACATTTGCTTGCTTAAACATGATATTGATATGTATTTACCCTTTAAAGGTTTCCACAAGCAGTTCTTCCTCTCAACAAACATCTGTATCATCCGCCCAGAAGGACAGTGATTCCAGGTAATAAAGCAGCTGTTAGGTAATGGATGACTCCGATATCTCTCTTTTTTACTGAGATTATGTTGTCTTTATCTTCTCAGAACAGACCCGTCAACCTTATCAAGTAGCATGAATGACCTAAAAATTGGACCTTTACAAAAGGTAATCATCCTACAAATGTAGTGTGTCCATATTCTTCTATCTTAGATAGGCCTATACAATCAACAACGGATGCTTCCAATCATTATACTGTTCTACACTTTACTGGAAGCTAACGTTTTTCTCGTACATGATTAATGCATGAGAGGTCAGAATGTTCTCATTTGCCCAGTACATGATACTCAAAATAGATATATTTACAGTTATTATATTTTCCTTTTGTATCTGTGTGTGGTTTATCCAGAATGGTCTGGATGACAGCAGAAGTCAGACGCTGCCTGTGAATTCCTCTCTGTCAGAGCAGAACGGGAGCGGAGACAGCAGCAGTGAAATCCAAAGTCAAAGGTCTCCAGATGGGAGCGAAGATGGAGACTCCAGCCAAAGTAAATCCAGATATATTAACTCAAGCTACACATGATGATGGATAGCGTGCAGTAATAATCTTTGATGTAGGATCAGAGCTAATTTTTCTGGGGAATAGTCGCGGGGCCAGTAACTCCTGTGAGCAGATGCAGCTTTCATATTTGGCGCAAACCACTCTCCTTTGACCAGACGACCGCTGCACCTTTGATCACATTTAATTGCAGAGGCTCCTGACAGAGCAGATGGCTCATGGGAAAGACTTTCTCACCAAACACACCCTCTCTCTGACCACATTCATTTCAGATCCTCCCTTCCTGAGATTCACCGACCATTTTTAACTTGAGCCCCACCCTGATTTTGTCTCTGCTGCGTTCTGACTGACTGAAGCCCATACCATAAATATCACACCTTGTAACATTTAGCTTGAACCCCTTCTTTTTCACGGGGCATTAACCAGTGAATGTTTTGCCAAACTCAATGATCTGTGACCTGTGTTCTCGCTCATGAATAGAGTACTGTAACAAGACAGACTGAAACACGCGCGCCGCTTTGCTCTGAATGTTATTTTTGGTATGCCAGCGAAAAAAAGAGCAACGGAAAAATATTTTACTGCTTTCTACTCAGTAATCATCATCAAGATTTGTCTTTCACGCTTCCCTACAGGAAACCATAAATTAAGACATTCTATTTTTTCCAAGTTTCCAGTGTTGAAATGTTGTTTATTTGGCAAGATTACAGTACGTCTATTTTTGCCAATCACAATTAAACTCTTTTTTTCTACTTATCAAATGCTCCTAAAATATGTTGCTTCTAAGTTGCCCTTCACAGTACTTTCATAAATCTTGAACCATATTTGCACTTACACTGACTTTAGTTTTTGTATCGTTTTACAGGAAAGTTGGAGAAAGTTGATGACAGCAGTTTGAGCGATAATTCTCCTGTTCATTCTGCAGAGAACACACAACCTGGACAAAGAGCTGTGGGCTCACCAGAATACATGAAGAATAACAGGAGCTTAAAGAGGCTCTGGGGAAAGTGAGTGTGGGAAATGACAGTGATAACTCAACAATACACCAAAATAAATGCTGGCCAAGTACGGAAAAAGAGAAGAAAACCAAACATTACATAGACCTTAAAAAGAATATGTATAAATATGTACTTATAGAGAATATATTTGTGTATAAATAATATTAAATCTAAGTGGAGAGAAAATAAACATTTAGAGATGTTTCCATAAAGAAATATTTCCTGCAGAATGAAACTGTCCTACTTATTACAGTAAAGTAAAAAAGTAAAAACGTACTATATAATTACTGAAACTACACTGTTGCACAAACCTGTCAGATGTTGAATGATTGATGATAACAGTTTTATCTAAAAGTAATTAAAGACTCACCTTAGGGATTTCCATCACCACCACAATATTTATACGTGTGCCAAATATGTTATCATTTAACTTTGAGAATGAAAGTGGTTTGATGATGTTAACTCTCCTTCATACAGACTTCGAAGAACCCAGTCAGGAGGCCTGCAGGCAGCCGATCCAGACGGCGGTCAGTTTAGAAGAGGGGGTCTGCGTGCCACAGCAGGACCCAGACTGACCAGGACCCCCGAGTCTTATGACCCAGCACGGTAAAAATCAGTGTGACTCTACCTATCTGTTTAGTTAGAGTTTAGGGGTTTTGTATCAGGCAAGTCAGCATTCTGTTTTACTCTTTAAAAAAATCTGTTTTGGTTCTCATGCCACCATTCTATAAATACCCAAATCAAACAGTGTAACAAATACGATTCTTTAAATGTATTACATACATAAATCAAGTACTTGACATAAATTAATCAGTTAATTATCTGATTTCTTAATTTTTTTATTTCAGTGATCTGAATATTCCATTCAGCCAGTGGACCAAGGAGCAGGTGTGTGGTTGGCTGGAGGACTATGGACTGGGCCAGTATGTCAATCTCACCCGGCAGTGGGTTGAACATGGACAGACACTGCTGTCTGCCACACCGCAGGACTTTGAGAAGGTCAGAGAATAAAACAGAACAGTTACACTAAACATTGAGAAAATGATGTGAATGTACAACATGATGTTTTTACTCATATATAGTTTCTAAGTAGGTATCTGAAGAAACATATTCATGACTAAATTGAAGACTTAAAACGGCTAAAATAAACTACATTGTGCAGGTTAATCACCACTGATTCCCCGATCCTTAGTTTTATAGTGACAGTTTTTTTTTTGACCTCAGGAGATGGGTATGAAGAATCCGCTGCACAGGAAGAAGTTACATCTCGCTCTCAAGGCCTTCACCACAAAGGTTATAGAGAAATCTTCAGAGCTGGACTACATCTGGGTCACACGTAAGACTCTTTCTACATGGAATATTTGTTCTCATTTGAATCATATCCATAAATAGAGACTGGGACATATCGGGCCAACAAACCAAACAAAGACATGTAATGTGTGAGATGTAAATCTGTTTGGAAAAAATGCAAATATGGCCAGCATTCAGAGAGGAACTGTATTTTGCACTGAGCAGTTACAGTGATAACACAGCTGATGGTGCTTGATTCAGCATTCATAAGGTGAGTGAGTGAAGTCAATTAATGTCAATTCTTCACCCATCTACTGTAGGCTGGTTGGATGATATAGGTTTGCCTCAGTATAAAGACCACTTCCATGAAGCCCGGGTGGATGGTCGAATGATACAATACCTCACAGTGGTAAGACTGAATCCAACTGTAACATTTTCCATGAATGTGGAGGCCTGCAAATACATATATTTACATTTCAGATGTATTTAAACATTTGCATAATTTTCCTTAATTTCAATGATATTCACTGTTCTTTTGTTGTTCCCTCAGAACGACCTCTTGACTCTGAAGGTCACCAGCCAGCTTCATCATCTCAGTATTAAATGTGCCATCCATGTACTTCATGTCAACAAGTTCAACCCCCACTGTCTTCGACGTAGGCCAGGGGAAGAGGTAAGCCAACATTGAATGGAGCAACAGGAAGTGCAAGTTATAAGTTACTGTGGATTTTGGAAATAGGTCTCATTACATGAGCTGCCCACAAGATGGCGACATACAGACATGGAATGCCTTTAACATAAAGCATTTTTTCTATCATAATGTATAAATGCCTCTATGGTGCATTCAAAGCACTCACTTATAATGTATTTAGAACATGGATCAAACTAGTATGAATGAGATAGAAGATTAATACTTTTTGTTTTTGACAGAAAAATCCCTCTCCCTCAGAGGTGGTGCAGTGGTCAAACCACCGTGTGATGGAGTGGCTGAGAGCAGTAGATCTAGCCGAGTATGCCCCTAATCTACGAGGCAGCGGCGTACATGGAGGGCTTATTGTAAGTAGATTTTGAGCTTTTCTGCAAGTTTTTCACATGCATTCATGACAAGACTGAATAACTACATTTGTTGTTGTCTTCTTCTGTCAATACGCTCTTCCATAGATACTCGAGCCTCGCTTCAGCTCAGAGACTTTGGCACTGCTGTTGAATATTCCTCCACAGAAGACTTTGCTCCGTCGCCACCTCGCCACTGCCTTCGCTGCCCTGGTGGGGCATCAGGCCACGCAGGAGAAACGAGAGTATGGCAATGCCACAGGCCATGTACCCCTCACTACCACTGCTAAAGTAAAGGTAAGAGCAAAACAAGAATTAACATGTTTCTGTTGAAGCAGCATACAATGTAAATTATGTATTAATGGGCTTGACTTTTCTGTGTGTTCAGCCCAAGAAGCTGGGATTCACCCAATTCAGTCACCTCAGGAAAAGGAAACCTGATGAATCTGCGGACTATATCTGCCCAATAGACAGTGGGGCTCGGACAGTCAACGGGGTTTCTCGCCTGCCCTCTTCAGCACTCAGGGGCCTCAGCCCCACCTTGGACAGACAGGCTGAGAGGCAGGAGCGGCTGGGGATAAAAGCTCAGGCTAATGGCCTTAAAGAATAATTTAAAATACAGCACACTCCCCTCTCACTCACTAAGTGACTTTGTAAATCAGTGGAAATCTGATGCAGAAATGTATCTGAGATTAATCCATGTGATGACTTGCTGGATTGGCTGCAAAAAGCAGTGTTGTTAATAAATTGTGCGAATAGTTTTATGAAAGCTGCTCTCTGCATTCCTTATACAGTTGGATTCCAAAGCTTTTACTTTGATTTAAAATAATGCTTTTTCCTGTCCATTTTGTATGTTATCTTCTGCAGATTTACATGTATAACTTTTTCTTGTGATAGACTGCACAAGGTATTTGCTGACCCCAGTTACTTTAAGAATGTCTCTTGTTCATATTCTGTAAGACTGACACAATGTTTTTCTTACGCATTACTCTTGTGCACCTTTAAATGTGTTTTCTTTGTAAAGGATTCTCATATGCGACATTATTTCATACAATCATATGCTGTAGTGTAGTATAATAAACATGAGGTTGACAGTTTTTGTAGCATTTTTGGAGAAAATCAAAGCAAATGTTTTCCCTTCTCTTCTGGTGCTTAGCTGCTTACTGTCTTTGAACATCTTGATCATATTTAGTTTTGGCTTAATTATATCCTACAGTACTCATGTGATTAACAGGGACAGTTTTCAAATGTACGTTTATATATTTTTTTTAATTAAATTAAGGTATCAACCTCAGTGTTTTATTGTTCACTTCCTGTGAATGGATCTTTAGATCTGAATGGGCTAGAATTGATTCAAGACTGCCCTCTATTGGTCAAATAGAAATGCAAGAACAATTGGCACAACATTAGTTTGGTTTGTTTGTTTTGGTGAGTTCATTAAAAATAAATGCATCAAACAAACAATGATTCTCTTGTTAGTGAAGATGAACAGCTTCAATTTAAATTCAACTTGTTGAACCCTTGAAAAGTATATTAAGTGTGTGTATATTTATAAGAAAATAAAAAATGGACATTTCGAGCATAATCTGCTGGAATACAGGCACGTGTTGTTGATCCAGGAAAAATGTACAAAACACCATTTTTGGCCTATTTAAATTTTCTGAAGCTAAAATATCTGAAAAATCATGCCATGTTTTGCTCTGTTGTATTGCACTTGTTGTTTTCAATATAAATGGTCATCAAGAGTAAATACAACTAAATAAAACATCTCCTGACAGCATTTTACACTTTAATGTCTGGCAGATTATTTTGAGAGAGCCCAGACAATATATGTTCAGCAGGGTGGAGTGGTGGAGATATTGCATTACTTAACCTACCATAGCTCAAAGGCTAAATGAAACAAAAGCAAACATGACTGCCTTGAGTTGGGCTACATTTTCCCTCTTAATGTCCACTTTATCTAGTGGTGTTGTAATTGTTAACAGTTACGGTATTTGCCAAATGAGACCAATCCGGTATTGGTAGCAGTATTTCATTTTGCACAGACTGACACCGAGTGCTGTAATAAAACAAAGTCTCACTAAACGACCAATTTCCCTCTAAGTTAATCTACTTTGATTCTGCTGGCGTGTCTGTTAGCTTGGCAGACGGGGCAGCAGTCAGCTCTCCTCTGAACCCTCCTGCAGAAGCAAACAGCCTCAATTAGACCAAACACAATAATTAGGGAATCTTGTACCTCTGCATATCATTAGTTTCCTAACGGAGAACATCCTGATCAATGATTACAAATAGCAGCTTCATAAATAAATTAGTCCTGCTGATACATGTGTAACCCAACTCAATTGATCTATGTTAAATGGAAATCAGAGGGCTGCAGGAATGAGGATTGGTATGGTGGGATTTGCAAATGTAAAAGTCTGAAGTACAAAGGAGAAAATACTAGTTTAAAAATGTGTTTTCAAAGCGTCAGCAATGTCTGACACGTAGGTAAAAAGGCGGCATGTACATAAGAAAATGTTGAAAGTTTAAAAGATAAGAATCCTTATTTAAAACCAGCAGATGTCAGTGTTGGCTGTGGATGTGCCATGTGCCATAAATACTACCACTGCTGAAACTTAACTGTTGGCTCGTGGTGCACCACTCTGCTTGTTTTTCATTCATTTTTCATCGTTGTTTAATTTTCCTTTTTTTACTCTAAGAGGTTTGTTAGTCAGAGGTATTAATACTTTTTCATTTGAGTGATACTGACGTCAACCTAAAAGACATGAAGCTTGTTGTACTGCTTTACTACATTTGCAAAGACACTTTGAGTTACATATATTTGAACGTTGTTATCATGCCAGCACACAACATAGGAATAGATGTCACATTGTTAATCAAATACTGGGCTCAGACGTGGCAGATGGACATTTCAGGATTATAAAACATAACACATTGATATTAAAGGCCCTTTTAGACTCTTTAATTGTCAGAATGTAAATGATACATCTCAATAATACAGACAAGCATGCATTAAAGCATGTCGTTTTATTAATAAAAAGGATAAAACATTGCTGTAGTGTCTTTGTTTCTCTCTTTTTAGACTGCACTCTCCATTATGTTGTGTGTGGGTGTTAATGTGGGTTTATCAATGTTGTATGTATGTGTTAAAAGAGGACTGCGTTGTTTATAATAATGCATCTTGGCTAATTTCAGTAATGTGATCCAGCCTTTAGGAGCTGACAGCTTAATGGCTATTATTTGTGTCACCCTCTCTCATAACACTTTAGCAGTAAATTGCTATGTGCATATGTCTGTGGTATGACTGACATCTTACCTTGTAATATGATAGCTATTGTTTTAATTAAGTGAAAGCGATTGTGACATTTATTGGTTTCCAAGTTACTTGTTAATGGCAATATAAGAAAGAGTAGAGGTAAATTATGATGGTTTACATTGCATAAATAATTTACAAACCCTTTACTAATGATTACACATTATTCTCCCACTGAGACTGTCATTTCATTTGAATACATCACAAATAAAAACACTGCATTGGTGATGCAATGCAAACCCCCTCTTGGCAATGCCTGAGCCCTCTCCCTTCTCTCTGTCTCATCTTCTTCCTGTGTGTTCCTGAGGGTGAGAGGATATACTGTTTATTAATGCTGTATCATATTTGTGGTGAAATGTTCCATTTAAATTATAGAGTCTATTGAGACTTGTATTCTGTTATCAAGGTCCCTTTTTAAAATAATGCCAGTAGCCAGTCTGTTAGTGCTTTAAGTCATCACCCTGTCTGTTTGATCTATGGAGTCACTCAGATGTCTTTAGTGGAGCGTAATCATGTTTTTATATGATGTCACTGGTCGTTCCTGTCATTAACTTGCCACCAGCTTGCCAGTTTGGGGAACATATTCGATGTTAGGGTGGTGCATGTGTTGCGTACTCCCCATCCAGCCACTAAAGCTGTATCTGTCTCCAGCGCACCAGTTTGTTCTGACAGGCCTGCCACAATGATGACTGCATCACCAAGATGCGGCAGAGCAGCTTGCGAGCCGACCCTGACACGCCGTCAAAAAGAGCAGCCAGCCGTCTGAATGAGCCTTCTTCTGCCCCATCAAACCTCAGAGCCATCTCTTCCTGTACAGCCAGACACCATCAACCAGGCTGTCTTTTCTCTGTTTGCTTTCAATAGGGAATGCATGCTTTGTATCCTTCTTGTGCATGGATGTTTTAAAAAAAATAGTATTTACTTTCAAGATCAGTGGCTATAGATACTTAAATTATCTGCAAACAATCTAAAAATCACCACATTAGATATAGATAATAGATGACAATGGCAGTCCAAAACAAGCATGATGGGAAGTGATTTTGGGGAACCGTAAGCTTGGTTATGATCAGCACTGTTGGCTCAAAGGGGTCTGTTTTTATTTGGCAGCCAAGGCAACTCTGCCTGTCATGTTTAGTTTCTGGACTGGCTTTTTCAATGCCTGAAAAATGTAGCCAGTCCATTGAAAGAGAGGAGAGGCATCAATCATTATGAGAAGGCAATTAGAGACATTTAATGAGTGCTCAAACCCAATAAAGATTGAGCATTGTGTCACCACTTTGGTTATTTAGTCAACGTCGCAACTGGTCATCTCTTACACATCCATTATTATATCTAATGTAAAATCTCTAGGATAGAGTTAAAGCTATAATACGTATTGCATTACCAAGCTGTCCCCTTTAATGGTAGCGTCTCTCACTAGTGTGTGACTGGGTGAACGCTGGCTTGTGTTGTAAAGCCAAGAAAAGAAAAGGGTTACATAAATGCAGACTATTTAACATTTTTAGTTTTTTAATGCTCTTAATTGATTTTTTAAAACAATAGATGGCAATTACTTCTGTTAAGTGTGCAGTGAAACAGGCACTGCACTGAAAATGCACAACTTAATATTTATAAAGTCAGCCACACACCGGCACGACATTTTTACTCGGTACACTTCACCACTGTTTTGCATTCATCGTCTGTCCTCTCTACAGATTGTCCACATTAACCTCTACTGATTGACTTTCTCTTTGTGTCCCTGTAATGGGCCCCAAAGACCAGAAATAAACCAACCCACATAAATTAACTGAAGTCTCTGTGTGCATCTTTTAAAAAGCTCTCTAAAAAAAGTTATTTAGTTGATACACAACCCTTTTACTTTAAATAAGGATATGAACAATTATAAGAGAAACAACAAATACTAATGCAATCCAGCATCACCAAATTAAATCCAAAAATCAGGAACATTCCTTTTTATTTGAATCATTCACAACAAAAACATCCATTCTGGGTTATTTTCCATATATTTGCCCCAGATTTAGTACTAGTACAACCTGCCAGCATGTCTTCTGTGACTGTGTGGCACATATGAAATGTTATCTACAATGGCATTCCTCAGTTACACCCAGGTCAGTCGGACAGGTGTTCTCATTGGACATGAAAGCCTCTGGTGATGCATGTCAGTCTTGATCACCCATGATGATGGCCTGAGGTAAGGGAACTGCTTCCATTCCTCTGACATGGGAACTCTTTTGAGTTTCAGCACTTTTATGATGTTTTGGCAGCCAGAACAACCATTCGGACATTGAGGTGGACATCCGGGACTCCCTTCCCATCAGGCGTTTATGCTTCAATTTTCCAGATCCTTTTCCTTTGCTATGATAGGTTTGTCATGTTTCTTCCAGTCTACCTGGAAGTGTCTCAGACTACTTGCAATGTTTCTCTTATCTACTCTTATGCTAGCAATGTGTCACTTGACAGTAAAGGTTGATGTTTGTGTTAGTCACATCATCCCCAGATTGAACCCAAGCTTTTGGCGTGTACAATTAAAAAAAATGGGATGAGAACAAATAAACACATAATTAAGAATAGTAATACTCGAGAAAAAATAAAAAGCCCGCGACCAAAACGACCTATAGTTTAAATATCAGCAAGAAAAAAGTCAAAAATGTAAGGCTTTTTTCTTTGAGTGATCAAAAGGGGTATTTTGGAAGGCATGACAAATATCTAATTTGTCATTCATGTTCATGAGTACTTGTATCCATTGTGCAGTATTCATTTATTCACCATCTACTGGGGTTTATCAACCTCTCATATAAATGGATGGATGTGTTAGAGGTGGGATACATTACATCCCATCTCTAACACATCCTGTTTACAAACTTCAAAAACATACAGCGAAGGGGCTGTTAGATGAAATGAGAGTATCTCATTTGGGCAATATTGTATAAAGAAATATGCAAGAAAAAACAAACCCCAACAGCCATGCTTGATGAAATTACAGACGAAAAAATGGTCTCTGATGAATTGGCACTTAATTACTGCTTGATTAGCATAATTATGCATGTTAATAGCATCTCAAATGAATTGCAGTTGTCAGGAGGGAGGAAGCATCTGTAGTGGTGGCAGCCTGATACATATTTTCTCCTATCCAACAGCGTTGTCTAACTCTTCCCCTTAAGTGTTCACCATTAATCACTACACACTCCTTTTCCTTTGGAGTGAAATTTGGCATTTTGGGATAATTGGGCTATTATTGTGGGCTTGTCACATCTGTAATAGTAGGCTAA